TAAAAAATCAAGGATTAAGTTTAGGATGATGCAGGAACCTAGACATAGAGGGGGATTTGGACTCCCAAATTGGGAGCTTTACCATCAGGCAGCCATTCTGATATGGGTGAAGGATTGGATCGCCCTGAAAAGGAGGCAGCTATTGGCGGTAGAAGGCCACGGCCTCCAACACGGTTGGCATCACTTTTTATGGCCAGGACAGTCAACCCGACCGAGATATTTTCGGAATCATTATTTACGTAAGATCCTAGGAGATACCTGGGAAAGACTTTGGAGAAAGTTGTATCCGAAGATACCATGTTGGATTTCGACCCAGGAGGCCCTGGTATACCTGACGTTATATAAAGGAGAGAAGGTCTTGACCTATGAGGACATTTTGGATACTCAGGGCAGACTGAAGACACGGGAACAACTGAAGTCGGAGGGGTGTAATATAGACTGGTGGGCCTACCCCCAAATACACTCAAGGTGGAAGAAAGATCAGGAGAGTGAAGGGATATATCATGGGAAACAAGAATTGGATAAAATATTGTTAGGTAATGACAGGAAAGTTTTATCGAAATGCTATTCTTACCTATTATCATTGAAAGCGGGGGAGGAAGTCGTCAAAGACTCTATGATTGCCTGGGGGCGAAATATGGGTTATTCATTGGATTTTCAAAAATGGGAGATTTGGCTTAAAAATTTAAAATTAACTATGGCATCCTCTTATAAAGAGAATATTTATAAGATGGCTTATAGATGGCACCTACCTCCAGCAAGACTAGCTAAAATGTTCCCCGGGACATCTCCACAGTGCTGGAAATGTGGGCATAGCAATGGAACCTACTTCCACCAATGGTGGACATGTCCGTTGGCAGCCAAATATTGGATGAAAATACGACGATGGTTGCTTGAAATTACACACTGTAGAGTGGAACTGAAACCTGAAACCTTTCTGTTGGGGGTTAGACCCGCAAATATTGGATTGACTAAATGGTATCTGATGCTGCACATAATCACTGCAGGGAGACTGGCATTCGCACAAGAATGGAAGAATGAGGACTTACCAACGGACTCAAAAATAATTTATAAAATTATGGAATGTGCGGAGTCCGACAGACTTAACAAAACTGACCAAGGGTAAAAGAGACTCAGATTTTTATAGTAGTTGGAACATGTGTATGATTGGATCCAGAAACGATGGGAGAGAGATAAAGGATAATGTTGGATTATAATTATAGATGATGGTATAATTATAGTAATCAGTATTGGAAATGTAAATTTGTATATAAGAATATGTAAATAATTTCTTTTACTTTCTGATTATTGGTATATATATACATGGATATTTTGGTGATGTTACACCGTGATAGAAAAACTATTATACATTTGTGTTTTTTTTTGTTTTTTGAACTATAATAAAAATTAAAAAATTAAAAAAAATAAAATAACTGGTAGCATTAAAAAGATGAAATTTGTTTCTTGGAGCTCTTCATTTTAATCTTTTTCTCTTAATTCCTGCTTTTTCTAAGTTATTTCATTTTCAATGGGTTTGAAGAATAATCAGATATTGTTACATTATCTTGTATTATTACATTGATGAATTATGTTCATGTCAGTTTGTTCCAGTCAACTTTATTCTAATTTCAGTTATCATGTATGCTCTAGCCTACATTTCTTTTGAGTGTTCTTGTTCCATGGTTGTTTATTTTTTCAGAATATTTACATATTTTTCTATTAGCTGCATGATTCCCTAATACTAGAAACACGATTATCCTCACAGTTTTAAAGAAACAAAGGATAACATATGAAACTGAAAGGCTCACACTGTTTTACTGAGGAATTTTCTAGATTGCAGAGTTTTATTTCGCAAACAAAGTTGTAACTGATAAAGGAGAAAGATAGTTACTCAGAGTAGCATAAAGATAGACCTGTTTTGTGTCGTCAGAAGCATTCTATGGTGGAGGGTGGGGTGGTGAGTGAATAGAAGCAGCATTGAAGGTTGATATTCAGTCACACCCAGACCCAGAATCGCTTGTACATGCTGCTGCAACTACTCATCCAATCCCCCCCCCCCCCCCGCAGCAGCCACCCATGGACCTGAAATTGCTCACATATGCCTCTGCAGCCACCTCCCACCCCCATACACACTTGGCAACAGTCACTTACTTGCCTGCTTGCCAGCCTGTTTGTAAACTATCTGGGACATGCAACTTCCTGCTGGCTTCCCCACTGACTTTGGTTGTTAGAAGCCAGGAGGAAGCTGCAGAATGTCCTCACTTAACAACAGCAACAGGGACTGCCAGGATTGCTGTCATCACTAAGTGATGTAGTCACATAACATCATGGTTTATGACCACATCGCTTATTGATGGAAATTCCAATCTTATTTATTGTTACATGAGAAGGATCTATACTGTGGCCCTTTTACAACCTGTGGACTTCAACTCCCAGAATTCCTGAGCCAGCTTGGCTGTCTCAGGAATTCTGGGAGTTGAAGTCCACAGGTTGTAAAAGGGCCACAGTTGCCCACCCCTGATCTATATTACGAATGCTGTGAAGCAAAGAGGTACTGGATAAATAAGTTTATTTATTTAAATAAATACCCAGATCTTCTCACAAGTGCTGTTGCTGAGCCAGCTACTTGACACTTGTACATCTGATTTCTTATTTTAGTGCAGAACACTTACATTTCTTGCTGTTAAACTGTATTTTCTTGGAAAGTGTCTAGTATTCAATTCTATCAACATGTTTTTCAACTTTGAGCCTATTTTCTAAGAGGTTAGCAATCCCCCCTCCCAGCTGTCTGTCATCTGCAAATTTACTGAGCAGTTTTTCTGTCCACTGTTTTAAGTCATTTTGAAAAACATTGAAGAGCACATGGTCCCAGGGCAGAATCTTAAGCTACCCTATCGCATACATTTATCCATGCAGATGTAGATTTATTAAAGACATGTTGAATATTGCTGTTTAACCAACTGTAAAATCATCTGGTAGTAAGACCATACATCCCTCACTGTTCCTTTTTATAAGAAGGCAACTATGGTCAACTTTATTAAATTTACTGAATTCTATCTATATTACATCCAGAACATCCCTTAATCTACTAATCTAGTTATTGTAATCATTGAGGAGCTGTGTTAGTTTGTGGTGGCAAAAAATCTGGGATGTGGTAATACATTTCCTAACTAACAACTTTTAGTGAAATGCTTAAACTTTTATGAATTGCAGTTTTTACTTCATCAGATGCCACCAGGATCCTTCTAATCTAGCCAATTATTTTTTAAAAAGCCATAAAATCTGACATAACCTGTGTTTGACAAACTCATGCAGGTTTCAGATAATTACCTTGTTACTTTCTAAGTGCTTGCAAACACACTGCTTTATGTTCTTTCTATGATTTTTAAGGTACTGAAGTCAAGGTGATTTGTCTACAGTTATTTTTGCCTTTCTGAAAGATCAGAACAGTGTTAAACAGCTCTTTTCCATTCTGTTCCTCTGATGCTTTCTCTACACCCAGAAGTTCTCAAAGATTACAGTTAATGGTTCTGAGATCATTTTATCTTGTTCCTTAGTAGCCAAGGATGTAATCCTTCTGACCCAGTGACTTGTATTCATTCAGAGCAACTAGCGTTTCTCTCACCACTTATATGTGCTTGTTTTAACCTTCGCTTCTCTTCTGTCCCCCACCATGGCTCATCTTCTGATAGTTGGACTTCTTTTTCCTTTTGTGAAACTACAGATGTGAAGTAGGAGTTAAACAGTTCAGCCTTTTTCCTGTTGCCATCTTTTCCAACCAACAGAATGACTGTTTCCTTAATCTTCTCATGCTTCATCCAAAGAAATATTTTTGGTTATTTTTGCTTTCCATGCAAGCCTCCTCTCATTGAGACCCATAGTCTTCTCTCTTTTCATTTTTAAAAACTTGTCCATTTTGTTTCTCAGTTTATCAAAGAGTACTTGCAGCCATACCAATAACATCTCCTGTTTCTTTTTTTTTCTAGTATTGTTTTAATTTGGTCCCTGATTAATCTTATTTTTCAGAATTTCCCAATTCTGCTGAACCCTTTAGCATTTCTATCCATGAAATCCTTCCCACAATCCTTCCCACATTTTTTCTTAGCTTATTGCAGTCACTCTTGAAATATAGGACACTAATCTGATTAACTTTAGTTCCCCCTATATGGTGAATTCTAGGATGATATGATAATTATTTCCCAAGATTTCCACAACTTCCACTTCCTCAACCATTTCTTCATGGAGGAAATGTACAACTTAAATAAAACAACTCCTGAACTCATCACATTCCTAGAAGTCCTCCATCTTGCCAGAATTTAGCTTTGGCCTAGTAGAGGTCACCTGCACTTAGATATTATAATTAGACAGAAAGAAAAATCCATATTGAATATAGAACATGAATATATAAAGCATGTTCATCTTCAAGCTTTGAAGAAATTATATGAAAAAAATTGTGTATGTGCACAGCTACCATAGGAAAAGGGAACTGGGTACAATGAAGATCAGTTTGGAGAAGCAAATGAATAGGAAAAGGAGCATACTATTATAATTTCCCACTTGGTTAAAGCTTTTGCAATTAAGTTTATAACACTATTGATATAATATTGCACAGAAACATCAAGTTAAGTAAATCATGTTTGGAGATAATTGTGAATTTTGAAAGAATTGAAGGGTGCAATATATAAATCCAGAATAGACTACTCCTGTGATGCTGATATACCATCATTTTGAATATCAAAACATTCTTTGTGATTAAGTTAATGTTAGTGTGCAAATTTGGTAGTTTATTTAGTGAAAGCATGCATTCTTTTACTTTACTAATATATCTTGTTTACAGTCTTTGAAAGTTATGTGTTAAATTATGTAAAATTCAACATTGCATTTCAAAGGGAGGAAAAGTAATGTTCAACTACTTGTTATGACAGAATTCAAGTTTTTCTGGTGCATAGTAAAGCCTTCTCTAATTCAATCTTTTATCTTTTGTTTTTGCTGCCTTGCAGGGTTGGTACAGTAGGCCTCACTAAACTTAGCTGCAACTAAGAATTTCTCCTACATCAACAAAGTTAATGATGATGCTCTTGTGGATTGGAGAATAAAAGTGCACACTAAGTATTTAAGAAGCGGAAAAAAACACATTTTATCTTCTCAGATTTATACTGCATCCACTGCTATCAAGACAGCAAACCAAAGGACAGATTTTTGATCCACAGTGTTTGTAAAACTAAACTGATTTATCTTACTAAGGCTCGGGGTTTGTGACCTGGACATCAGCATTTGGAAGTTACTTGTTTTACAAAAATGAGGGCGGCTTTGCAACCAGCAGACATTGCCATTGTGGCGCTCTATTTTGTGCTTGTTTTGTGCATAGGCTTTTTTGCCATGTGGAAATCCAATCGAAGCACTGTAAGTGGGTACTTCCTTGCAGGGCGATCTATGACATGGGTTGCAATTGGTGCTTCTTTGTTTGTAAGCAACATCGGAAGTGAACACTTCATTGGGCTTGCAGGATCTGGAGCAGCAAGCGGATTTGCCGTGGGGGCATGGGAATTCAATGCCTTAATGCTTTTGCAACTCTTGGGATGGATCTTTGTTCCGGTCTACATACAATCTGGAATATACACCATGCCTGGGTATTTATCCAAACGCTTTGGAGGGCACAGAATTCAAGTATATTTTGCTGTTTTGTCTCTAATTCTCTATATCTTCACCAAACTCTCAGTAGATTTGTATTCAGGAGCACTGTTCATTCAGGAGTCAATGGGCTGGAATATTTATTTATCAGTGATACTTTTGATTGGAATGACTGCATTGCTGACAGTGACTGGAGGTCTTGTGGCAGTTATCTACACAGACACAGTTCAAGCTTTGCTTATGATTATTGGTGCCTTCACACTTATGATCATAAGTATTAAAGAAGTGGGTGGGTTTGAAGAGCTTAAACGAAGATACATGTTGGCCAAACCAAATGTTACATCGATTTTATTGACATATAATCTTTCCAGTACTAATTATTGCCATGTTGACCCAAAACCTGATGCACTGAAAATGTTACGTGAACCAACTGATGAAGATATTCCTTGGCCTGGTTTCATTTTGGGACAGACTCCAGCTTCTGTATGGTACTGGTGTGCAGACCAAGTAATTGTCCAGAGGGTGTTAGCAGCAAAAAATATTGCTCATGCCAAAGGATCCACTCTGATGGCAGGTTTTTTAAAACTCTTACCTATGTTCCTTATAGTTGTTCCAGGTATGATATCACGGATATTGTTTGCAGATGATATTGCATGCATCAATCCAGAACATTGTATGAAAGTTTGTGGAAGCAGAGCTGGATGCTCTAACATTGCCTATCCGCGTCTGGTAATGAATCTTGTTCCTGTTGGTCTACGGGGCCTTATGATGGCTGTAATGATTGCTGCACTAATGAGTGATTTGGATTCTATATTTAACAGTGCCAGTACCATCTTTACACTGGATATATATAAGCTCATAAGGAAGAATGCATCATCCAGAGAACTGATGATTGTTGGAAGAGTTTTTGTTGCTTTCATGGTTGTAACAAGCATTGCTTGGGTCCCAATAATAGTGGAAATGCAAGGAGGTCAAATGTATCTATATATACAAGAGGTAGCGGACTATTTGACTCCTCCAGTGGCTGCTATATTTCTTTTAGGTGTATTCTGGAAGCGTTGTAATGAACAAGGGGCCTTCTTTGGTGGGATGCTTGGATTTGCTTTAGGGGCTGCACGGCTGATTCTGGCATTTATCTATCGTGTCCCTGAATGTAACCAGCCAGACACTAGACCATTCTTCATCAAGAACATCCATTACATGTATATTGCTACTGGACTGTTCTGGATCACTGGAATTGTGGCTATAATAGTCAGCTTTTTGACTCCACCACCTTCAGCGGAACAAATTCGTACAACTACATTTTGGTCTACAAAAAAGAGAATTGTGAAAGAAAGCACATTAACAAGCACATATGAAGCACAAGAGAAGAATGTGTTAAAATACGGTGTAATGGTATCTTCAAATGGGAAATCTGAAGAAAATGTTAAAAATGACCAGCCTGAAAATGTCAATCTTCTAATTACTTCCAGAGATGACAACAATCCAGTGATTTCTTTTAACACTGAAGTTGAAACACCAGTTGATTGTTACTCTAATGGGCAGGCAGCTCTTATGGGTAACAAGAAGAGTGAAGAGGAGATTGGGAGCAGTGACAAAGACTGGAAGTTTATAGATTGGTTCTGTGGCTTAAAAAGCAAAAATGAGAACAATACGGTCATCCAAGATAAGAGGGAAGAAGAGACTATTTGTCTACAAATGCTGGAAGAGACTCCAAAAGTTAAATTATTACTCAATGTTGGATTATTTTGTGTGTGTTTTCTTGGAATATTCATGTTCGTTTATTTTTCTTTGTGAACAGTTTTTTAAGAGTGTGGCCTGACATTCAAAAAACAGACAAACAGGTCCTTGAAGAAATATATAATTATGCGTGTTATATGTCTCATATCTCAGGCTTCCTTTGCATTATTGTTTTCAACCAGCTTGAAAATCATTACAAATCCTATAGCTTAGCGTTTCTATTTCAGTGCAGAATGGGGATTTTATTCAGTACCAAAAGTTGAATTTCAATATATCAAAGTAAGAAATTCGTTTATTAAAATAAAATAATTACAATCATTTGCAAATGGTCAAGGTGAAACTAGTGTTAATGTTGGCACTAACACTTCAAATATTGGTAAATTACACATATACAGTTATGAGTCATCTTAATAATTTCTGATTATTTTCCTTTTACCCAGTACTCAAAACATTGTTTTTGACTAGGTTCCCAACAAATATCTAAGTATTAAAACTGAATTACACAACAATAATTCATATCATCTAAAATTATTATGCACCACTGAGTACAATACTTCCCTTTCTCCATTCACTAGATGAAGTATTTATCAATAATAGCAAGTTTGAAAAAGAATTCAAATTATGCAGAAAAAAATGGTCCAGTTTACATCTCCCTAGTTGATATTCTGCATATTGATTTAAGTCTCCTTTGCAAATTATGCTATTTGGTGTTACAGTTCAAATTACTTGGAGACAAAATGGCAGTCTAAATGGTGGTAAGACCCCCCCGCAAATAACCCCCCAAGTATTTTCAATTAAAAATACTTCTTGGGTATGTTGGGATATTTTCCTAAAATTGAATTTACACATTAACATTGTAGGATTACAGTGATTCCTCCAACCTCTTGCAGAATGAAAAGCAAAAAACAACAACAATCCTCTAGCATCTTCTTTGTGAAACCACCCTTGTGAAATCTTTTTCACAGTGTAAAAAAAAAAAGTCACTGTGAAATAAGCAATTTTGTACAAAAGACTTTTTTTAAACTCCTCCTTTTCCAGGTTTGGAATTTAGTGACATCAGTCCCCCCCCCAATCTTTCCAAGAACTCAGATGGGGGCTTATGTTCTTCTCAGCCACCATCAGTGTTCCCTCCAGTGTTCCAACCCTCTCCCCATGCATAAGCCAAACAAGCCCTGGGTTGGGTTTTTGTTTTTGTTTTAATTTGCCTAGACTAAAACAGTGGAAACATCATATTTTAATTTGGGCTCAGATAATGGAAAGTCAGCTGTTCTGTGCTTGGAAGAATCTCCTGTTCTGAGGCTGTAGTTATAGCAAAGGCAGAAAAATTACTCTTAACCTCTTCCCTATGTCATGCCAATTTTTAATACCCAGTTTGAAATGGCTGCGTGAGGAGTAATAGATGCACTCTCCATTACAGTGCTGGCATTCACAGCATCTATAGGATGACTGAAATGGCAGGGCCAATGGAAGCAGGAACTGGCAGACATAAATAAACTTACGACTTTGGACAAAAATCTATCCCATTCTATAGTATCATTCATAACTGGCTAGAGGGAATTTGTCCTTTGTTTAGAATTGAGCTCACCTCTGCAGTTTTGCAACAAAATGCATTCTTGCACTTCAAAGTGGTAAAGTTGTGCCCCATCAGATGCTTTGTACTTCTCTTGCTCCCTGGCCTTTGGTCATGCTATCTGCAGCTGATGGAAATTCAAATATTCCAATATTGGAGGACCATAGGTTCTGACTGTAATCGGAACTGCAGACCTGAAGCATCTAATGCAAAAATACATTTACTTTCTTTTCTTTTTTATCTGTACCTTAGAACAGATTGAGATTGCAATGACTATTGTAACAGCATATGATAAGGTAACCAAAAATTGACTTGACTCATTGGCAATAGCATATTGAGTCATTTTGCTTTAGAATTTTTCCCACAAGGTCGGTGAAAAAATGTCATTTATTACTGAATAATAAATGACATTATTATGGCATTAAGTGACATTTATTACTGAATGATGGAATTAATATGAAAAATCTAAAGACATTAAATTGTGGTTTCACTCTTGATCACGTGATATAATTTTAAAAGCAGTGTATGTATTTTGTAAATACTGTAGCAAGATTATGTTTTTATTGGCTTCTACCATGAATTGAGCTGCTTTCTGTACAGAACCAAAAAGCCTTTTCAAGGCATGTGTAATAAATACTTCTTTGATGCTAAAAAAAAATGCTTTAGAGCAGGTAGTGGGATATTTTGGTGCCTCACAAACTCAAATGCATATTTTCCTGGCTATAGCTGCTTTATAAGCCCAGAAGAAAGTACAGTTTCTTTAAGGAGGTATTGACCGATGTGACATGTATACTCATGCTGGCTCCAAAGTTCCTTTTTGGCTTCAGATCTGAAGTAGTGCACATCTTTGCCTTCCATGACTAGAGACCCCAGATGATGCTAGTGATGAAAGGTGGATTGCTCCTGAGGTAAGGTAGCATTGCTCTTTCTAGTACTCCAGTACTCAGTATATTGAATGAGTTGCTAGCATTGACATGCAGATTGGCTAGCTCAGGAATCTATTTCCCTCCCATTCCCTCCCAAGGTATTTCCCTCAAAATACCTTGAATAGCCTTACATTAAAATAGCAGTGTCCAATACTCTCACTGTCTTAATCTTAAATAATTTAGTATGTGTGTGGTATTATGAATACTTATGGCAGAGTTAATTCTGAGTCTATTTGAAATTGGACCAATTAACCAGTAAGGGAAATTTTGCCACATTTTAAAAATGTATGGATTAATATTTGAGAATTCCAGTTACATTCCCTTTGCTACTTTATATAGTTTAGACTATATGAATGCTATTCATACGTTTAGTTTTTTTGTTACGGGCTTTTGTTTGATTGACAAAATGGAGATCCTGAATAATGTGTCTCTGCCTTTTGAATAAGATTCAGTGTAGTACAGGCAGTCCTTGACTCATGATCATAATCAGACCACCATTACAGTCATAAGTCATGCTGATCATTAACCAGATCATCATATAACTGACCTGATTTTACAACATTTCCTGCAGCAGTTATTAAGCGAATTACAATGGTCATTAAGCACATCTGCCACTGTTCAGCAAATGCTGCGATCATTAATCAACCCATTGTCTACAACAGGCATTTTTGCTGGAAAACAGAAGTAAACCTTGGTTTCTGGCAAAATACATAAGTTGAGGACCCTGCAGCAAATGAGTCTAGAATACATCATGCCATCTCTCTGGGAACAATAGTTCCCACAGAGGAACTAATAGTTCCCACTTTGGAATTAACAGAGAGCAAACAAGCTATTTGAATACACTGTGTGCACAATTATTGGAATACAGTATGTAGTGAATGATATTGTGCTTATTTATTGAAATCTCTTAAAACTTGAATTGGAACCAGTTTGCAGACATTTTTAAAAAATGGTTATATAGGACAGATGGATGCCGTAGTAATCAAATGGGTAAAAGCCAGTTTTTCCATTTTAAAACATTTGAGGGGTGGGTGGGTTATAGTGCAATAATCTTTCTAAAGGTACAACCAATGATTTTTATCACCCCTTCCACCTGTAAAATCAGTGCTACCAGTACTACTTGATGATTAACTCTTGAGCTTCTGCTGTGATGCAGAACAGGATTTTGGGGCTATATGTACCGTGTTTCCCCGAAAATAGGAAATGTCCTTAAAATAAGGCCAAGACTGATTTTTGGGGTGGGCGTAAATATACGCCCTCCCCCGAAAATAAGCCCTCCAGCAAGTGCAGCCGTTTTTGCCATGAATTGCGGCCACTTCTGCTCAGGAGGCCAAGCAATGTGCCCCATGTGCCTCGCGGCGGCCTTCCGAAGGATACTGTAACAACAGCTATCCATAATTTTTTTACCCTTATTTCGTCCCGACTGTACTGGGCCACGTGGGTCAGGATGAAATAAGGGTTAACAAATTGTGGATAGCTGCTGCTATGGTACCCTTTGGAAGACTGGCGCGAGTCTCCTGCTGCAGAAGTGGCTGCGCCTGAGAAGCGCTTTTGGGAGAGAAGGCAAAGGGGAAGCGATCCCTTGCAAACTCCTGCCATGCCTGGCAAGAGGGGGAGAAGAGATGGCAAGAAGAGCGAGCTCTGTCTCGCTCCATGCCTCTCGCTTCTCCCCCGCCCTACCTGCCATCCCCCTCGACAAAGAGATAGCGGGAAAGGGCAGAAGCCAGGCTGCTGTTACCATTGGGGTGCGAGTTCAATCAAACTTTTCGAACTTGCAAGAAGTTTGATTTTATCCTACGTGTTTGCCTGCAAACAACAGCAAGACACGCGACAGAGCTGAAAGGCAGGTAAGACGCGCGTCTCGTGTCTCCCCGGCCCCTGGCAAGGGGGGGGGAGAAGAGACGGCAAGACACATCTTCTCCCCCGCCCCACATGCCACCCCCCTCAATAAAGAGCCAGGTGCTGTGGAAAAGGGAGCAGGGTGGGCGCAGGCTTTGGGCGTCTGGGGCTGCTGGGGGTTGCCCGGTAGAGAGATGGGAGTGGGGCGGGAGTTTGCAGGCGAGGGGGATGGATAGGAAGCAGGCAAGTGCCCAGCGAACAGGTGATGAGCAGTTGTGTTGCGCTGCCACAGCAGCGCAACACAGCAGAAGCCATGAGGTGGCCACGCTTGCTGTCTCCTCCACCCCCAAAATAATAAGACCCCCCGATAATAAGGCCAAGCCCTTATTTCGGGGTTCAAAAAAAATATAAGACAGGGTCTTATTTTCGGGGAAACATGGTAGCTACAGTATAGGTTGTTTATAGGTTGTTTACCTTTGGTTAAATTGTTAAGTGGGCAGTCAGGCCACAATTTAATATTTTGTTTTGTTAATAAGGGTTGATTGAAGTAGACTGCAGTCCTTCAAGTTTCTACTTAACATAGAAATATGGTATCCTCTTATTGTTTGTGGGGGTTTGCTAACGAGTGTGACATTTTGGAACGCTTTTATTGGTTGCCATGGTCTAAGATGGTTGTCTATACTGGGCTGCATAATGTTCTAGAATGTGACAACCCTGTTTTTGTTATTTGTTTGTAGTAGACAAAAATCTAAGTGTTACTTCTAGTTTAATTCTTTTATAAGTATAAGAATCATATTTTAACTGAAGTTTCTATATTCCTTTATTCTTACTACTGAACATTTCTTTTATATAATTCTTCAAATTAAGAAAGTAAATGTGTAATAGCTTGTTATAGTGCCTTTTAGTAGCAAAGTATAACCTTGTCAGGTTGCCACATCTCATTGTGATGAAAACATTTATTTTTTGCTGACTTCACATTTCTATCTATGCCATAAAGGAGCACATATATTTTTCTAAGTAGAACTGTAAGTCTAGTCTTGAAGATGAATTAAAAAGTAAATCATAGCCTACATTGATTGTTAATGGCCATTCAGTATTTATTTTTACATTAACAGAAGGCATAGTATGTACAACACTCTTAAAAATTAGGGATGTGTAGCATTTTAATAAAGATGAACAATCCTAAACTTCTAATACCACTGCAAAATCAGTTCTAATAAATAACACTAAATAGGATTCCAACTTGGATGATCATTTTGACTGCCCTGGAAATTTTTTTACATTCCATGAATAAGTGTTTGTTGGTCTTCTGATTAGCAGCGTAGACTCTCTAGCTAATAACGATCCTTCTATTTTGCGGTTTAGTGTACAATTTCTGATGGTACTCAAACAAAAATGCAAATTTCCCATGGATCTGCTTTACTTCTTAACATCTAAGCAATTGTCCAGTGTGTGTAATAGTTTAGATTTGCCTTCCTCAGTCACGGAGCTGCTGTCTAATACTGGAATTCTGGTAACTGTTGTCTAGAACATCTGGAGAATTCTGGTTTAGTCTACATGCAGGAATGTACAAAAATTTCTCTTAATGGATCCAGCCAGTTGCATGGGATTCCCCCCCCCCCCCCCGAATTTTTGTTACTTATTGTCTTGTATATTATCATAGCAGTTGTTCAAGAATACCTTTTTAAGAAATATAATGGGCTTTTAATTTGTATATTTAACTGTACGGAAAGATGTATGAGGGCTTTATTTTTCTACTATATTCAGGGACATCATAGCTTCTATTCTGGAAAATATTTTATTCTCTTTTTTTGCCAAAGTTGTCCTTCCATCCCATTTCGCTGCTTTGCTATACAAATACAAAAGAAGATGGTAAACTGACTGCTTCACTTTTCTTTCTATCATTTTAATCTAGTATTTTAGTGTCCTTGCACCTCAAAAATCAGATCTATTGAATAATATTTTCCTAAATGGAAAAAAGAAGGGTGTGGGCTGTAGGCTGTCAAGTTCTAATAAACAGGGGTGTTAAACTCGATTTCATTGAGGGCCGCATCAGGGTTGTATTTGACCTTGGGGTTGCCAGGGTGGGCGTGACGAGCTCGATGTCACTCGTGTCGAGGGCCCCTCTGGTGACCTGAGTGCTCTGCCAGCGAAAACGGGCTCCTGAGCTCCGTTTTTGGCTGTGACGGCTTCTTGCAATCCTCTGCCAGCTCAGGGGGATGCCTCCCGAGCTCCGTTTTCTCTGGCAGAGGCACCGTGAGCCAGTCCTTTGCTGTTAACAAGGCAGCCCCGCGGGCCAGATCTAAGCACTCGGGGGGAAGATCTGGCCCTCAGGCCTTGAGTTTAAAACCCCTGTAATAACTATACTTGTCAAAAAACAATGATTTAGTAGCATACCTTTATTTTAAATTATTAACCTAAGGTAAATTATTATGTTTTGTAGGCATTGTCTACAAGAGAGACTCTTCCCTCCCCCAAAAACTGCATACTGAATTCATAAATTTAGTTTTTTAAGGAAAATTTTAAATTATGTATTTGAAATTAGGAACTTAATTGTTCGGTATACTGTGTATTCTGTGCCCTTAACGTTTTTAAAATAAAGCTAGTATTATTATATGTGATGTTATGAATTAAAGGTGAGTAAAGTACTTAAAACTTTTTCAAGAAAAGTGTATAATTCACTGGTGTTTAAATGTATTTTTGTTAGCTTTAGAATAGTTGAAATGTAAGTACATATAATTAAGGGTCCTTATTTCACAGTGTTTTTTTAACCTTGCTTACAAAATAGCACACTCATAGGTATACACACACAGAAACAGACACACACGCACACACCACATAACTCTTTCTGGAAATGTTTTGTTTTTTAAAAAATACTTCATTTTTGTTCTGATTTTGTGTAAAATGTTCCATAGTGCTCTAATGCACTATGTAAGATTCTTCATGGGCAAAGTCAGGTACTGAGCAATGACGGCAATGACATAAGACAGTCATTGTTTACAAACACATACGAAAGTGTTCATGAACACATGCTTTTAAATGAGGTGGTTATAAAAATAGTTGCTGTGCAAAAAAAACCCTAGTAGTCTTCTTCAAGAAGAAAGCAAGTTCTTTTATTAAGTAAATACCTTTTTCTTCATCCTTTAAGTTTTAAATACAGTGTCAGTGTGATGCTAATTTTTCTTTCACCTTTGGATATATAAGTATACTTTTTTAAAAAATGTTTGGTATCTTGTTTTTGTTGCTGTTGTATTTTCTACAATGTGTGTAAATTAGAAGTCAATAGTTTTTTAAAACATTTCACAGAGCAAAAAAATAAAATGGTAATGTGCAACATATCAAGTGTTTAACCTTTAGGGGAAAATGAACCAACTAAGCATAAATATGTATAAACTTCTAGATGTCTTAAATATAAAATCTTAAATGCCCATGATCTGTCGCTAAAAGATATGTTATTCAATGAAGTAGAATCATTACAGTAGGAATATAGATCTAGAAATATTAAGGAAATGAATATTTCTTGATGGAGCATTGCTATGATCTTTACCACAGTTTGTCATGGAATGAATGGCTTAAGTATAGAACATTGTCAATATGATATTGAAGAAAACTGTTGAAGAACTCTGTTACGCTAGTTGTATGTATATTGATTGTTGTATACTGTATCTGTATTTTTGCCTCCTGAATTAGTCTTCAACATGAAACTCTTATTAGAGTATTTGTATAATTAAAACTGTATTTCTTGCAGTTTACATTTTTTGAATATAGAATTTTGTCCTGTCCAAGTTACTGTGTGGAAATGTTTAAAACTTATGTACAAAGTTTAAATAAAAAGTACAAAGATGCAAGTATTTCTGAAATGATTTTAGAAGTTTATGAAATAAACTTAGTAGGTAAATATTCTTGAGAGTCTGCTGTGTCTGAAATTTCTATTCAATTTTGTTAAGAGATTATGTGAACAATTCATGATATTCCAATTTAGACAGTGGAAATTAGAAAATAATTCTAGATAGCTTACGGCGCCAATATTTTAATGGAATCTGCTTCAATTCTGTGTGTTTGTGTTTTATTGTTTTCTAAAATGCAAAACAAGGAAACCAGTCTCAGATGCATTGGAAGTTTATTATAAAGGTTTGCTGCCACATTAGGGCTTTACTGGTAAGTAGCTGACTTTAAATTGAGTGCAATACAGTATATTATCTGCAGTCAGTATAGCACCTGAAAAGTAAGGATAACGTGGCCATTTTCTGAGACAATATACTACCCTAGACAATTTAGTGCGCCAGCTGTAATCTCCAGATTGTTTTCAATGGCAAAATTATATGGAATAATTCAGTTGAGATTGCCAGAGCATGTATTGCTGAGATCAGGCTTTTTTCATCCACAAATTGCTAAATTGGGCTCACTATCTGAAGCTGTGCATAGGTTCTCTTTACTGAGGCACTTTCAGTGATTATTTGGTATGTAAGAGTAGCCATATATCCTGTACTTGGTTCTATAGGGCAAGTGTCACCCCATGTAGTATTGGGTTAAGGACAGTTTCTGGATAGAAGAATTGCTTGGAGATGATGAACTTCCAGGCTAATGTTTATCTTTCTGTGATTCATCTTCAGGCAGTTGGCCTTCATCTAGCTCTTCACAGCTCACCAGCATTCTTCTATTGATTTGCCTGGGTCAGATGAAAAAAACAAAATTGAGAGGCATTTGTACATCAAACATCTGGACAGCCTTTCCCAATGGCTTTATACAAGCTTCAGCACCATGGGAGGTCAGATCAAATGCAATGGAATTCCCTGCACAATTATCATGGTATTGAACAGAAGTCCTCCAGTCCTATTTTGAGAATGGTTCTGCAGGCAGGAATACAAACACTGCACCACAGTGTCTTTCAACTTGCTGACTCATCCCAATGAGATACTATGGTCCATGCTATTACAAGCTTCTGAAAGATTAAGGACAGTAAATAAGAATAGCACAGCATTCCTACTCATTTTTCTAAATGGTGGGCAACCAATCTGCTGATCTTAATTGTTTATTCCCCAATTAGAGTGATTCCTAATTCTCATAGAAATGGGAGCTATGGGCCCATAGCTTGCTTACTCTGATAGTACATAAACACTGGTGGGTTTTAAACTAGCATTTGACTAATTATGAAACAACTTGATCATGTTGGTTAATGAAAATTACAACTCGGGTACACCAGTTGTGAAAAGGGCAAATTCCCTATTATGAGTCATGAAGGAGTTGAAACGACAGTACTGAATATCTCTCAGTAGTACTCTGTTTTAAATACTGTTTACAGCCTTGGTTGGTTTATCCAGAAAGAATATTGTAGAGCTGGGAAAGATGGGTGAAATTTATAACTAGTAAGTTGTACCTTTAGTTGAAAAAAAAAGGAAAAAATATTTAGATAATATAAATACAGGTAGTCCTCGACGTACAACCATTTGTTTAGTGACTGAAGATAAACAGCACTGAAAAATATGACTTATGTCCATTTTTCACACTTATGACTGTTGCAGCATCCTCATGGTCACATGCTCAAAATTCAGCCAGGTGGTAACTAGTTCATATTTATGAACTGTGGTGGCACAGTGGTTAGAATGCAGTATTGTAGGATACTGCTGCTGACAGCCGTCTGCCTGCAATTTGGCAGATAGAATCTCACCAGGCTCAAGGTTGACTCAGCCATCCTTCGAAGGAGGGTAAAATGAGGACCCAGATTGTTGGGGGGCAATATGCTGACTCTGTAAACCCTTTAGAGAGGGCTGTAAAAGCACTGTGAAGTGGTATATAAGTCTTTTAAGTGCTATTGCTATTACTACTATGACAGTTGCAGTGTCCCGGGGGTCATCTGATCATCTTTTGTGACTTTTTGACAAGCAAAATCAATAGGGAAGCCAGATTCACTTAACCATGTTACCAATGTGATTCACTTAACAACTGTGGCAAGAAAAGTTGTAAAATAGGGCAAAACTGATTTAACAACTATCTTAGCAACAGAAACTTTGGGCTCAATTGTGGTCGTAAGTCAAGGATTATGTAATGTGGCTGAGGGGAGAGAGAAACAATGATTAGAAAATAATGCTGTAATAAAATGGATATTAATCATGTTTCCATCTTATACTATAGCTCTGGGGAGACTGATAGGTGGTGGATTGAAGATGTGATAATCTCTAGCTTGCATTATTTTGGGAGATTGGGTAAAATCAGAGCCCGAAGGTTAGTGATTAAGCTACCTGGTTCAAAGAGAGCAATAGGTATGGTGGAAATGCTGAGAAGCAGATTGCTGTTACTATCTTGAAACATCTCAATTTTATACTAGATTATTTTTGGTCTGACCCAGCAAGATTCTGTTAAATGTTTCAGTTTAAAAGCTTAAAGTAACACAACCTGTATGTGTTATTGCTATAGGCAATAACACATACAGGTATGATAAAATATATACTTGTTTCTTTAGAGTATTATTTAAATATCTTATTTCCTCTTTCACATCAGATTAGGAAATAGGCAGGTCTAACCCATGAGTGACATGCTGCCCTGGATAGTTAATGCAGCCTCACAAAATAATAACCTTTAATATTATTATGTGATTAAGGTTGGTCAACCATATTATATATATTTTATATGCAGCTCAAGACAATTCCTCTTCACGATTTAAAATATTGAATTCCTCTCTTAATTGAATTTTCTTAACTATTCTAAAGTGGACCTAAGAAGAAGTTGTTTTCAGTTTTTTGTACATTATTGCAAATAGATAAGAGACTAATCAAACTTTTGGGACTTCTTGCTTTAACGTCTGTCTTTTCTCCCCTTCCTTTTTAGTCCAGCCAGTTAAAAGTAATTGCCACTGACTTTATATACATTATTTTGAAATACCTACCTTCTACATGGATATTGACAGTTGAATAATGTGAGTGATCCCTTTTTGCCCTAATTATTGCCAAAATATTAGTTCTTCAACATTGGAAAGACAATTTTTTTGTCCCAATTATCCACTAAATTGAAGATTTGTTACTTGTGCCTTTTGAATGAGTCAATTGAATGTCAATTATAAACAAACTATTATAATATAATATGGATAAGTTTTACTGAAACCATTTTATCAAAAAACGTCATGTACACACAAACACACACTCAGCATTTTCTCTGTTTTCATTATGTTTTCAATCCCCCCCAATTCTGTTTTAGTAAATAAAATAATAATAATAAATAATAATAATAATTTTATTTCTATACCGCCCTTCTCCCGAAGGACTCAGGGTGGTGTACAGCCAGTTTAAAAACACAAACACAACAATAATTAAAAATTAAAATAATTAAATAGGTTTGGCTGATTTAAAACTCTAAAAATTAAAATACCCCAATTTAAAATTATTATATTGACAGCCCTGCCTGGCGGAACAACAAGGTCTTCAATGCGCAGCGGAACACCCGGAGGTGTTAGATAAATGATAATTGACTACACTATAAATGTATGTTTTTCTTTCTGTTTAAAGCCAGAGACAGCTGCAACACTGAGACGAACAGTGGAAGCTTTGCTGGAAAGAGGAGCAGTGGTGAGGAATTTGGAAAACCTGGGAGAAAGAAAGCTGCCATATAAGATAGTAAAGCATGATCAGCATCACCTCAAAGGAGGGTATGAGTTATTTAATTTTTGCATGTAATTTTGCTAGACTGAATATAATTCAAAGAAGTGATGATAGCACAGAAATCTACAGAAGAGCAATACTGGAATTGGAGCTTTGGTATTGCCTTAGCAGCTGCTCCTACAGTGTCCCAAAACTTGATGCTTACCAGATTAGTTAAACTACACTGCTGTCTTTTACTACCAATACATGAAATTAGTGATGGTAATAGGAGTTGTGGTACAACAAATCTGAATAATACCCAAATTGAGAAATTACTTAAGGGAAGAAGATGATTCAAGGCTACTATGCGTATCCGTTTCTTCCCTGTGCATACATTTCACTTCTTTCAATTGCATCCAGTGTTTGAAAAATACTGTCATTTCAATGAATGTGACATTCAGTGACGTTTGTTAGTTTGTTCATTAGATCAATTCACATAGCTACCTATTTTCTAATTGCAATTCTAGGCAGCAAACCCAACCAATGGTATACATATTCCTAAATTATATGAATCAATATTTAATAACAGCAAAATGAGGTACAAGGGTATTCTCCCAAATAAATAAATGAAATTACTTCATTCAGTATTTGACTTCATTACTTGTTTCTACTTCGTAGTATTTTGCATTACTGTTTTTCCAGTAAGTGTAGTATGTATAGGATTGCAGACATAGAAACAAAATTTTATATTCCCTTCACTAAGAAATATATTTGTTACATAGATTTTTCTAATCCAGATTAGCAGTTTTGTTTCATTAAAATATTTCAATATGATATGTATGTATTTCTGAAGAGCCATGGTGGTGCGAGGAGCCAGATTGTTGGGGGCAACATGCTGACTCTCTAAACCGCGTAGAGAGGTTTGTAAAGCACTGTGAAGTGATATATAAGTTTAAGTGCTATTGCTAACTTGATCAGAACTGATTCATTTTCTTTGCTTTGTCTGATATAATTATCCAATAACTATAATGATAATGGCTAAATTTGATTCTGCTTGCTATTTATTTCTATTTCTATATTGAAATCGAATGAGATGCTTGAAATGAATAAACAATTCAAAAACATAAAATTGTTTATAATAAATAAACAAACATAATAAAATAAAATTGATAAGCTCATCTGGTATAGTATAATTGGCGGATACAACAATTAAGATGAATTAAGATTAAAAAATGTTTAAAAATTGATTTTTTTCAAGTTCTATTCTGAATGTCAGTAAGTAAAGGAGCAAATAGATTTAATCACGGTATTCCTGTGTTTATTTACTTTAA